AGCCATCTCCTTGGCCCCCTTTGTGTGTTTATATATACTATCCCTTGTCATGTTTACTGTAGAGTCCTACTTAGGGCTTCAGACTGCCTAGAAATGTTGTGTTTCCCAATTTTTGCTAAATTCTCACTTTGATATTCAAGAAGTCTTTCTTTAAGATTGACTGATTTTGCATTCAATATGTCATAATCTTTAATTCTCAGAAAATTGTATCAGTCTTAATTCTGACATAAAGAATCTAAAATGCAAAAAAGGTAGTATGGCATTCTAACTTTCATTTCTGGTAGCTGGCCATGTGGCATATACCTGAAGGAGGAGGATTGTGCCTAGTTCAAGGCTAGCCTGCACTATATAATGAGACTCTCTCTCAAAAAAAGAAAAAAAAAAATCCAAGCCCATTGTTTCTTTACTTCAGCCATCTCCAAACTATATGACTGATTTTAGATCTCTAGATCTAAGTATTTTAAATTTGAATATTAAAAAAAAATTTTGTATATTTTGCCATTTATTTGGATTTAACATCTTGAGCAAACTTTTTGGTGCAAATTGTAGTTACAAAGTGGATACCTATAACCAGGCATTGACTGTCGTGTCTATATTTCCAAAGTTCTGTGGCCTGGAAGTGTTTTTGCCAGAAGAATTGCCCATTTTCTCATTTGGCTCCCTTGCCCTTACCATGTTCCAGTCGTACCTGCACGTGTCAGGGGGTTGACCCAGAGACCTGTGGAGCTTCCTTCTCTTTTGGCTGTTCATGGAGCATGTATTTCAACGGGTGCAAATTTGGTAGAAGCCCAAGTCCCAGAAGATTTAGAATTGATCCAAGTTCCCCCTTACACGTAAGTGTCCTTTTTTCTTTTTTTAATTACACAATGCATATATAAATATATTTCTTTAAATTTTTTGAAACACTAACAAAATTAAAGTTTAAAAAGTAATAATAAGGGCCGGGGATATAGCTCTGCAGCACAGTGCCTGCCTGGCCAGTGTGAGGTTGTGAGTTCAAGTTCTGGTATAAAAGTAATAACAAAATTTAAAATTCTAAATAGATTAAGTCAGAGCTTTAACTCTCAACCCAAATTCCAGTTGTCCCTGGCCCACCACCTCTTCTCTTACTCCCCTCATCCCAAGGAAATCATTGTTAAAAGAACTCAGAATTCTGTACCCAGCCAGAGTAGGAGAAACCATTTGCCAGCATTTCAAAGACTCAGAAAGTTTACTACCCACAGACCTACTATGAAAGAATTACTAAAGGACGTAATCCGGAAAGAAGATATGTGAAACCTGACCGAGTCTGTAAGGAACACGTGGCCATGGTGAGCAAAGAAACTAGTCAACCTTGGTGTTAAGTTTTAATAAGTGGAATACTTAATTTTTTTACATATAAAAACCTATAAATTCTTTATTCTTTTCAAATTGAGGGTGGGAAGGCAGGGGGAGGGGCGTGGCTCAAAAAAGATGAGGTATGGTGGTGTGTTACGCTTTGTTTAGGGCAGGAGGATTTGATTAACTTGAAGGTCAGTGTTTCCCAAACTTGGAGCAGTGATCACAAGTACAAAATGTATTGTAAACCTCTATGCACATATATTTATAACCATACGTTTCACAAAGTAAAAGGTTATAATACTTAAAGTTAATAAAGTTATCCCTGTGGATTTCTCTAGTTTATAATGATATTTTTTATTAAATTTCATTTCTTTATAAAATGATATGGCTAAGAAGTCATGCCCCACAGTTCCGAAAACACTCCTCATAAAGTGTTGTACCCAGTTGAGAAAGTATGTGTTTAAAAAGATTCTTAATCCTTCTATAAATCACCAGATGTGGTTTACAAATCACTACTGTGCAAAATAAATAGAAAACGCAAAGTAAAATAGCCAGAATTAATTTAAGTATAGTAAATATAACTTTCAAAAAGGAGCTCAGAGTCCAGGGAGATGGCTCAGTGGAATAAGCGCTTCCCTGGCAAGTGCAAGGGCCTGAGTTCAATGCCTGGTTCCAAAAAAAAAAAAAAAGAGCTCAGAATTACTAAATAATGTTCCCTTTAAAGAGCTAACTAGCATTTTCTAGATTTTTGAAGTGAATTCAGTAAAACAATGGCATAACTCTAAAGTTAGTTCCAGATATTACCTCCTGTCTTGAGAAGATAAAATAATTAAAATACATAATATGACTATTAATAGAGTTTACATGATGGCTAGAAAATATGCTATCTTATTCAATTTCTGCAACTTTCCTATCTACCAGTAAAGTATCTTAGAAAAAGTCGAGCATGAAGTGTATAGCCCCTTCACTGCAGAACCATAGAACCTGACCAAAGGCACAGGTAGAGTACTTGAGAGTGGACAGACCCTGGGCTCATAGGTGGGAACACTGCAGTGGTGGCAAATGCCTGGTAAGCCGCACATGTGCTACCTCGGGCTCTTAGCATTGAAAGCTCTGAAAGGTTCACCATCCTTGGTCTATACTATGCTGTTCACTCTTTTCTTAATGCACTAGGTTCTTTCTAAATATGACATAATAGAAGTGTGTTAGTATATAATTAGACTTTTAACATTGACAAAATTGTTAAATTTCTGTATGCTCTTTATCCTGCTAAGTAATGAATGAATTTGAGAACAATTTGCTTGTGGTGATTTGTTATAATGAGTATCGCCTTATAGTGCTTGCGATCCAGGAGGAAATGTCATTCCAGGCACTGTCAGAGCCCCATGTGGCTGAAGCTCAGCAGGCAAGGGACAGTAAGGTGCATGCAGCAGTTCTTGTAAGGCACGGCACAAGGTTTGGAAGATCATAAAAGTGTTTTAAGGAGGAGAGAGAGACTCAAACTGGGTCTCTCTGGATGCTCTGAGTGCTGGATTGGAAGTGGCCAGGCATGGGTTTGCAAGGGAACGCCCCACTGTGCCTGAACACCAGGAGGAAGCTTGGGACAGGACTGTTGCACAGGGATTGGTGAGCAGCGGTGGGTTTGGAGGCTGTGCTCCTGGGTAGGCAGAGTAGTGCACGAGACCGAGTTGGTAACCAGTGGTCACGTGCTCAGTCTGAGCATTGGGGCTTAAAAATTTTAGTGAGAACAAAAGAACAACAACAACAAAAATTTAATTGAGGCCCTCATGGTCATACTGCTGAGTCTACATCTGGAGAAGTGCTCTGGTGGTGGTTATAGCCTAGTAGGCATGGGGTACCTATGTGCCTACTTTATTTCTTAGTTTTACTCAATATGACTTGTGACACTGGATGTTCTATAGTGAGACTATTATAAAAATACAAGTAAATGTCACAACATTTGAGAACTTAGACCTACTAGTGTATAAGAAGTATAGAACTTACTTGCAGTTTTTCTATTGTTTTCATCAATAAAAATACATACTTGTTACCATTGTCTATATGATTGTACTAGCAGTAAAATAGTATAACCTACCTACCTAACCCACCAATTTTTTTCTTTGATATTGCATGATTAAAAAAAAAAATCAAAACCTTCAAATTGGGGCTGGCCAGATAGCTCAGCTGACTAAAACACCTGCTTAGGCAAGCACAGGGACTGAAGTTCAATCCCCCACACCACATGCTGTACCAGCCCTACCCCTAGAGTGGGCTGAGTCCACCAGAGTCCAGGCACAGTGGCATATCCTGTAAACTCAGTGGTGGGGAGGCTGAAAACAGGAGGATTGTGTAGTGAGACCCTTCAACAGCCAAATACATTTTTAAAAAAAATTTTAAAAACCATCAAATTGGTCTTTAAATCATTACTCTAGCATTTCTCCTAACTTGATGCAATAATTAATATGCAGGTGTAGGTACAAGCTACTGTTAAAACAGTGTCATTATATTTTGAGCTACACAAGTGGATTAATCTGGAAATGAAACCTTTGCTCATGGAATTCCTGTCTCTTTCTCTGTCTTCATGGGCCTCCATCCACCCACCCAGGGATTGGATCCAAGTCCTTCACACTTGACTATATCTCTAGCTTTTTTTATTTTTTGTTTCCCATAGTGCTGGGACCAAGGCTTTTTGTATAATCAAAAGCTGAACCTAAATTAATAGGAAAACAGTGGGGTCATCACTGATCTACATGGGTACCCACTTGAGGCACACAGAAACAAACAAACCACAGGCCTGAGTCCCCATAGTCTCCCCATTGGGTGACTCGCTCTCATCCAGATCGTGGGCACGTGTGAGGTGAGCTGCTCCCCACCTGTGTCAGGGCATTTCCAGCCAGCCACTCACCTGCTGGAAAGACCGCCGCCTCCTCCCCCGCTTCTGTCCTTGCTCTCAGTCCACTTAGCTGAGAATGTCATATGTTGGAAAAGCTTTTCAGTGGTCTTTCAACTACTACTTCTAGGCTCTTCTCTCTGTCACTCCTCAGCCCATGATCACTTTTAATAGACTCCTATTTGAGAAAGTCTGGAGCAACCCAGTTCTTAGCTGGCATTGTTCATGGTCCCAATCTTCTCGGCAAACCTTACTCAGTGCAGCTGTTTAGGCGTAGAAGACACAACACTGGTCCAGGACAACTAGCTGCCTGCCTAGTTACTTTTGATCTACTAGGTGAGGCATCTATTCAGCCTGTGCTGTTCACTTTACCGTTCTGAAAAGAATAATGATTCATGATACTATCTTAAAGACATACTTCATTATATCTGAATTTATAGCGAAGGGCAGGGCACATCCTATTTTCTGCATGTTTCTTTCCTGTCTGTTATTACATAATATCACCTCACTCACATTATGTATTCTTAAATTCTTGATTCACTATTGAATCAGCAGGAACCTGGTCTTCACTTAATTTCAAATACCCAATAAATATAAACTATGGTTTTTATTTTTAGCAACATGAACACTTCTGCAAGTTAACCTCTAACAGTGTTTAGTTTTCTAGCTAACTTATAGCAGTTCTCATTTTAAAAGATCCAGATTTTTAGGTGCAAAACTCTTCATAGTTCAGATTAAGAAAAAAGAGACTGGTTTTCTGTGGTAGCTATTTTGTTATGGTAAGTACAGATCATGCGTCAGCAATTATTTCTAGTGTAATTTCATACCTTATGCTCTTATACATGTTATTATAAAATAACCTAGATGGACTGTCTTTTCCTATAGGAAAAAAACTTGGAAGATAATTTACAGAGTCTGGCTACAGAATTAGCTCCAATTTATAAGCAGTATGCTCCTGTTGCTTACCAAAACCAGGTATGTTTTGGAACCTTTTGTAATGCTCTTCAACATGGTTCAGATTTCTGTGTAGAGCCAGTGTGTGAGAAACACCTGTAATGCCAGTACTTAAGAGGCTGAAGGGGCCGGGGAGATGGCTTAGTAGAATAAGCACTTCCCTGGCAAGCGCAACGGCCTGAGTTCAGTCCCCAAGGCTGAGGCTGAGCCAAGAGGTTTGCCACAAGTTTGAGGCCAGCATGGACTATATAGTTGTTTTGAGGTCAGCCTAAACTACAGAGTCCCTGTCTCAAGAATTTTTTTCCCAATACTTCTATTAAAGTCCTTGTTAATAGGAAACTTTTTGAATTTAAACTTTTTTTGGCAGAACTGGGGATTGAACTCAGGCCCTTGCACTTGCCAG